CCCTGCCTTGTAGGTCGGGCCGGCGCGGAGCGGGGAGCCGCCGCCGAGAGTGGGGCCGGGCCGGCGCCTTAGCGCCCGGCGGACGACGGGATTCAGAGCGAAGAGCCTTCCCTCCGTCGGCAGCCACCTGCTAGCGAGGGCGGCCCGGCTCCCCTGCCCGCTCCCCTCCTCTCCGCAGGTCCCGCCGCCAGTGCCGGCTTTGGTAGGTCTCCTGGGCGCTCGCAGGCGGTGGTCCTGCTCGGGTAACTCCTTTGGGAGCTCTGCCTCGGATTGGAAGTGCTTGTCTGGTTCCTTGGGGCGCAGGAGGTTTTCACTTGTCAGAATTGCTTGTTTAAAGCAACGGTGCAAAGAGAATGTCATCTTGAGTCACGGAAATACGACCTCTAGGTCAGCTTGTAATGTCAGCCCTCCTATGGGCTTGTTACTTTAGTTTGATAATTGTCTTAGTTTGAAAAATGTTGAGTTTGTTTTCTAGCTAGAAAGAAAAGGTGGGGAGAATTTTTCATCTTATGGCTACTGGCAGTCGACCAGGCTTAAGCTGCAGAGTTTACATACTTTCTGTCTAGTATCATTAACAATTCTTGCTTTGTTTTCATGTGTGCAGCAGAGATTCCATACGTGTCAAGGAGTCTGGTGTGAGGTCTGGGCGAAATGGCAAGCCTTCTGCATATTGCTGCTAGTGGGTGCTTAACCCCTGTTTTTGGCAATGTGTTACCACCTAAGATGCGTTCTGCAAGGATGCTGTGTTTGCGAATGTTTAGAACCCACCAGATGCTCACGTCTCAGGCAGCTCCAAAGCCAGGTAAATTGATTAAACTATTGTAAATAATCTTTTCTTTCAAAACATGAAGATAGCTTGAATTTTTCTTTCAGATAGGCATTGGTACAGAAAAGACTTTAAAAGAATGTTAAATCATGTCAACAACATACTTGGGTCAGTTGCAGTATAATTTTACACTGGTTTTAAAGGGCTTATACAGAAGGTGCTTGTGTTTATTATGAATGTTTTGGATTCAAATAGCTTTTATGGGTGGGGGATCAAAGCTCCTGCTGGCACTTTGATTGAGGGAAGTATTTAAACAAATGTTTTTCTTAGTTAAAAGCTAGAGTTCCCCATGAGTTTTGACTGGAACTCTGTGTGCATGCAGGGGAAAATACAGCCCTCACCAAGACAGCATCTTCAAACATGGCTATGTGTAGGTGTAATTATCCCATCTAAAAAAAATCTGTTAACTTTGTTCAGGAAACTCTTACGTTGTACTGCCTTGATGAACTTTTGATATGTATCTTCATGTGTAGGGTTTGTTGGTATATTTGCACTAATCACATTTTAGTGCAGATAATGGACAGGTTTGGGTATTTCCAGGAAAAAAAGGAGGGAGGAATGGGGCTTCCTTAGTTCAAATTTATGATGTGAGGCTGGTGTATGAGAATAGAGTTGACCTTCACTGTTTCTTTACTCTGAGGGATCCTGATAATCTGTATCTCATAGCTGTTTATCACAGTTGCATGTTGAAACCTGAATTTCTTTGCTCTGAATGACAGCTGAGGGATCAGGGGTCTATCAGAACTGATGAGATCATAGTTTTGCCATGCCATAAATTTGTGATGCTCCAAATTTTTTAT